AGTAGCACCAGCATAGTGGTGTTGACCATGTCATTCCAGAGATTTCTTTTCTCTTTTTCACTCAAGAATAGGAAAAGCATTTACATCACATCTTCTGAAATTCCATAAACAAATCAATTTGAAGGGAGGAGAATACCTTTTTCTGGGCTAGCATTGAAAAATAATGGCTTTATTATTGTTTTTGTAAATATATACATGAACTCCTTCCCAAATTTCAAATAGATAATAAATATTTACTATACTGTATTCATAGGATATTGTCAGCACACTTGAATGGCATAATTAGGGAAAGTAAAATCAAATTTAATATCATACCATTGATTATCATTAGTCAAATTACGAAAGCACATCAATAAAAATGTTTTTAAAATAATTCTGTTGTATAATGCTATTTAAATCTGTATCATATTTAGTTGTAATCTAAAAAAATAAATATCAGGCTATCAGAAAATAAAAAATAACAAGATGCCAAATATCACTACATACTAGATTCGTATACTAACTACTTTATATACTAAATACTAACTTTATAATCTTGTTGATTATGTTTCTGTGTTCTAAAGCTATATATAAATATGCCTAAATATCTTCAGATAGTTTTAAATTTCAAAAAAACTTTTTAGTGACTGTTAAAGACTAGTTTAAGAGATTCTGCAGTGAAAGAATATTCCATGTATCAGGGATTAGTAAACTTTTTATGTAAAGGACCAGAGAGTACATAAATATTTTAGGTTTTGTGAGCCATTCAATCTCTGTCACCACTATTCAACTTCATAGGCACATAAAACAAAGCAGCCGTCGACAAGATTTAAATGACTAAGCATGGCTGTGATCCAATACATTTTATTTATAAAAAGATCTGGCAGGCCAGATTTGACCCACAAGCTACAGTTTGTGAACCCCTGACAGATGTAATTAAATCTCTTTATCAGCACACTTTGGCTACAAGTAATAAAACACCCAACAAATAAATGAGAATAGCCATTTCTGTCTATTTTATTCACTAATGTATCTGAAAGCCTTAAATGGTGCCTGACATTTAGTAACCACTCAACAGTTGTGAATGACTATTTTCTTACTTCACCTAATATTAACTTGGAAGGTATACAGTTCCAGATTTGCTTCAGCAGCTCAATAATATCATTTAAGGACTTTGCAAAGGTTTCCTCATGTTTCTCTTCTTCTAATCTCATGTTGCTGATACCTACACACATAGTTAAAAAATGGCTATAGCAGCTTCACACATCACTTTCTAAAATGACAGGGAGCAGGAAAAGGGGAAAGCTTTCTTTTTGCCCTCTCTCCTCTTATTAGAGAGAAAAAGCTTTTTCAGAAGCTCCATAAGAGATTTTCCTTTATATCTCACTGGCTAAAACTAGGTCACATGTCCACTTCCAAGCCAATTCCTGGCAAAAAGACATAAAAACTGGTTTAGGTCAATGATTTATTATCTCAGGTTGTGGAATAAGCTCATCTTCCCTGAGCACATTGCCACTGGAACAAAATTAGGGTTATGTGACTATGTATGAAGGAAAAAAACAGCTCTTGTACTGGCAACAGATGATGTCTTCCATACCCTCAATAGTAAAATAAAAAATGACAACAATAAAATTTACTTTGTATTTAGTTAGTATCAGAAAATGCTGTACATGTATTCATTCATTTATTCAATTATCTTACTCAATTTCCTTCCTCTGGAAAGTTATGAGAGGAGGAAAAAGTAGTATTGAGAAAGAAACAAGACAAAGCAAAACAAAACAAAAACCTCTATAATCTCAACATGAAATACATTTCAAGGATTTCAAAATGGAAGGGAGAATACTACTACTAATAATATGCTTTTTTTTTTTTTTACTTTTTCCTCAGTCTGAGTTTTATAAAATGACTTCATTATTTCCTATTTGTAGTAAATTCTCAGATAATATACTCTGATATACAAATGTAAGTATTAAAATTTTCCCAAAATTCAGTAATGTGAAATTGTATACTTTTACACAATCCACACCATTGCTAGCTTCCATTATTTAGACCTGTCCATGTATATTTATTTAAGGTATTTTCCTTAAAAATTAAATTCTTTTGATTTTGTAGTCCTTAGCTGCAAATACAATTAAAAGTAGGATGTTGTCCTAATGACATAATCAGTAGAGTTCACTTTAAAACCTGATTAACACTATCAAGTTACCAAAAGTGTCTTTAATAAACTTAGAATCCATTTTTTACACTTTCCTATTATACTAGGAATAAACATATTCATGAGACATGACTGCATTACCGTTAAATAGGTGAAGGCAGATTTTAAAGACTGGCTTCAAAAGACCTGGATATGAAAGGAATAATATAAAGTCCAATATAGGAAACAATTAAATGATTAGCTCAACCATAAAATACCTTCTCTATTCTCAGCACATTAATATACAAACTTTATCTAAGTATATTGGTGATTCAGAAATCTTTATAATATTCTTTACTAGGAAGAGTATATTCCTGCTTGATAAGTATTTTGGAAAAGAACAGTAAATCATAAAATATTAAGATTAAAAAAAGTTTCCCATGGGAAAAAAACAAAAATAAATGAGAAAAACTAAAAGCCCAATTAAAAGATTTACTTTATTTTACACTTCAGTAAACACTGACAGCTTAAATATGTGAAGTTTTTGGAAATTAGAAGGAAAGAAAACTAATGGAAAATACAAGCAAGAGAAAATCATGAAATAGCCAAGGGCAAGACAATTCCATGGGTGTGCTACGTAATTTTAAGGAACAGCATGTATTAATTTAAATATAGCTACACTAAAATAAATGCAATAAAAATAAAAATAAAATTACTATATAATATAGAAGAATACAATAAAAGAATGTCAAACTTTAAAAGAGCCCATGTTTTGAACAAATTTAGAACTAAAAAAACTTTGGATATTTAGTCTAGTTAAAAGTCAACAAAAAAAGATGTATCAGATTTCAGTCCAGTAATATGAATTTAATGGGTTAAAGTTAAGAAACTTGGTATGGGAAAGCTTTAAACATTTTTTAGAAGCAAACATAAGAGAAGATCTCTATGATGTTAGGCTGAGAAAGGACTTCTTACAGGAGATACAAAGAACAACAACCACAGGAGAAGAGTGAGAGATTCAAATACTTAAAAAAAAAAGAAAAAAATTCTGTTAATCAAACACACCACAATCTGGGAATACAGATTTGAAACATCTATTATTGAATGTGTTCTATGAACCACTGGCACTAATTATTTATTTCTGTCCCCTTTCATATTCTGGCCTCCGTCCCACGGGCGAAAAGTCTCAAACTACATTGTCCAGATGTCTTGCAGCTGAAGTTGTGGATAAGATTAAAATTTTACCAGTGAGAGGCATTTCAGGGAGATATAGAAGGCAGAAGTGAGCTGAGACCATTTTTCTGTTGATATAGTGGCTGGTAAATAAAACTGGATAGACAAAAATGTCTCTTGTAGTCAATATCATATGGTCCTTTTTCCAATATCGTCTCCAGCTTTATGGAAATGATGCTGCCATGGTAATAGGGATGGTGTAGCACCATAAATTCCTGACCTCGGGATTATAGTCTCTGAAGTGTAACTGTAAAACCAATCATTTAGTAGCACTTAACTGTAAGTGAATTAAATCCTTTCTTGTTTGAAATTTCTAGAATGGTTATTGTTTACTGCGTTGACACTGACTGGCACATCAACAAATTTTCAGAATACAGATCACATAATGCACTTTGACAATTTAATAAGAAAAAGATAAGTAGAAATGGGGAAAATATATGAACAAGCATTTTATGAGAAAAGAAAACCACATAGGTAAATAAACATATAAATGGTCAATAATGGCAGGCTGAGGCGGGCAGATCATGAGGTCAGGAGATCGAGACTATCCTGGCTAACACGGTGAATCCCCATCTCTACTGAAAATACAAAAAATTAGCTGGGTGTGGTGGTGGGCGCCTGTAGTCCCAGCTACTTGGGAGGCTGAGGCAGGAGAATGGCACGAACCCGGGAGGCGGAGCTTGCACTGAGTCGAGATCGCACCACTGCACTCCAGCCTGGGAGACAGAGCAAGACTCCGTCTCAAAAAAGAAAAAAAAAAAAGTCAATAATATTAGTATTCAGGAAAATGCAAATTAAAACCACAATAAAAAAGTATTTAACAGTCAAAATGATGAAAATTAGGAAGCTTAACAAGAGCTACAGATATTAAAAGATATGGATCAATATAAACTCATAAATATCACTGGTAAGAGTATAAATTGGTATAGCTATTTTGGAAATTAAGTTGATATTATATTGCAAAATTGATATTCATATAACCTATAATCCAGCAACTTCCTTCCTTGAAACTCTTGCACTTGTGTGTGTTATTGAATAAAAAAGTCCTAGAACACTAGATACCATTTTTATACAGTCTTTAAAAATATAAAACTAAAAAGTATATTGCTTGGAGATACACATACCTATAAAAAAACTGTAAAAGCAAGGGAATAATAAGCACAAAATTCAAGATAGTGTTTATCTCTGGCAGAGAGAAAGAGAAGGACGGGAAATGGAAGAAAACCATGGATAGATGCACGAGTATTGGCAACATTTTAACACTCAAGCTGAGTGGTATGTTGAGAAGTTTTCATTTTATCAATATGTTTTCCAACATACATATATGTTATATACTACATTATTGATTGCTAATATTTGTAAGGTGCTTATTTTGTACCCTACTCCAAGTACTTACTTTATCCGTTACAGTCAGCCCTATGAAATAGGTTCTATTATGATATCTGATTTATAGAAGAGGACACTAAAACAGAAAGGGAAGTAACCTGTTCAGGGTCACACAGCTAACAAGTAATTGAGCCAGGAGTCAAATAGAAAAATCAGGCCCCAGAGTCCACATTCTTAACTATTAATACTATAGCTATCAAATATCAAATAACAAAAATAAAAGTTACCTAAGACAATAAAAGATAAAACCAATAGTTAATTGATTTACCTTTCATTTTCCTTGATGACATTTTCAAGCTGTAGTTTCATCTCACCCACCTGTTTCTGAAAGAATAAAATATGGTGTTGCAATACATTTTCCAGACAATCAGCTCTCCATTAAGTAGACCACTCATGTAAGCAATCAGATTCTGACACTGGTCTAGTGTCAGATTAGAAAGACTTATTCCTTATTTCTAACAAAGGGATAATTAATATGGATAGTTTACTAATAAGCAGAATACAATAAAACATTCATTTTAAATAGAATATAAATAAAATAGAAAGATTTTATGTAACACAGTGAGAAATATTTATAAATGTAATTCCTATGACTTGTAGCTGTGAAAAACAGATGAAAGATATTCCGGAGTATGTCACTCTAACAAATACCAGATGGTTCCTGTATCTTGAATGTATATCTTAGTTAATTCACCTCAGTTTAGTGAAGCCCATATAAGCATATGTATTTTTCTAGTATTTCAAAAGGTAAAATGCTAACAGTAAGAAGGAAATGGAGGTCTTTTTTTAGCAGTCATTCATTCAGTCTCTGATTCACCACTTTCATTAACTATCTAAACTCTCTGTACCATACAAGGCTGCTAAGGTAAACAGACATGCTCACTGAAAAATAGTAGGAAAGATGGTTAAAAAAAAAAAAATCACCTAAGTAAAATACAAGGAAGAATAAAATGCACACTAGAAAGGGAATTAAATGAAGGTCTGATTAATGCTCTCTGAAGGAGTAAAAAGATGTTAGGATTTCAAAAGAAAAGAAAGAGCATTTAAAGTTGGTAAAAATATGAGTAAAAGCAAAATAGCAAAAAATAAGTAGTCAACTCTCAGTAAGTGTGAATGAGCAAGTGGAGAGCATACACCCCCCCCCCCGGAAAAAAACCCTGAATTTATATGTAAAAGCATGCAAAATCTCACTTAAAACTGTAATCAATTCATGATTGTGTATTAGTCTTGATTGTGCTTCCTAGCCTAAAGGAGAGAAGCCTATCCTGGAGTACACCTTCACAACGGATGGGTGGAACAGGCAGTTCTCCAAGCCTTTTTCTCTCCCTTTCAACCAGAGAAGATCAAGGCAGCTTGGTCTAGGAGATCAGAATAGTGAATGCTAACTATAAATTTGGTTTGAAAGGTGAACTTTTCCAAGGTCCCCGTTATGCCTGAAACAATTAAACCAACATGAATTAATTCACTACCAGATAATTGAGCACTGGCCATATATGGACCGATACAGTGAGAGAGAAAATTGGAAAGACAGGTACAGGGTTTTGAGAATGTCATGGCAAGAGGTTTGGATTTATTGTAGCAATTATGTTGATTTTATAATTTTTAAATAATTTTTTTTTCCCTGAGATGGCATCTCACTCTGTCTCTTAAGCTGGAGTGTTCTCGAGAGCATGATCACAGCCCACTGCAGCCAATAAACTCATCTTTAAAAGTTGCAAAACTATCAGTGCATCTTAAAGAATGTTTATTACTCTTAAATAATTATGTAAGATACATACTCATTAGCTAAGACTAAAGATGGATTGTAACACTCTCACTATAAATTCCTTACTGTAAAATATTTCAAAATATTTACATTTGGAAGGAAGTGAAATCCACACAGTATTTCTCACATCATCAAATTTTTCCCTTCTATTTATATTTTCTGGCAAAAAATCGTCCATATAGAGAATTGCAGTGCTACTTTTCCTGCTTTGGAGATAACACTATTTTTTGACTAGGTCAATAAGTCATAAGAACTAGTACTTCTAATCAATCACATCTATCTGAGCAACCATTCTTAGATGTCAACATTTTTTTTTTCTCTAAAAGAAGGAGCAATTATTTTTATCATCAAAGACTCTTAGGCTTTCTAGCATAGTTTATTTCTCTCTTGTAATTAATTCAGTGATCACCCTCTGGCGGTAAAGAATGCAAAATGGAAAAACAAACTTAAACATCTTAGTAAAATGGCTTATTAAAGAAATACATGAATCAGATTATAAAAAATTTAAAAGAATTTAATTTCAAGATAATTAGCTATCTTATGTTATAACAACCAAAGTACATAATATGTTATTATAGGAATTTAGAAAGAGTAAATTCAGCAGAAACTTTAAATTCACTAGTCCTGAAAACAAAAAGAAAATACCATTTGTGCAAAAGAGGGCTTTCCGTTGCTCTTTAATTGTCAGCTAGGAAGATTAAAAGACATTACTGTGCTTGTCCTAAATTTAAATGACTACAGGCTAAGAAATACACAGTAAAGACCAGGAAGACTTTATGATAAAAGACACTATAATTTTAATGAAATGCTTTTATTTGATATTTGGGTCTAGAGGACAACTTTGTACGTTTATGTGTTTGAGAAATAACCTTGGAAATGAAAGCCTACATAATTTCAAACGCAGTGAAAGAACCTAATTTTATTTTTAGCAATTGGAAGCATTATGTGTTCTTTTAGTAAAGCTACATATCAATGCATTAATTGATAAGTAAGGGCTTGTTAAACTAGCTCTAATCAGCTTATTCCCATAAACCCTGGCATTTAATCATTTATTAAATATTTAAGGGCCTACTATGTGCTACACTTGAAAGTATACAGTAGGATCCCTTCACGTCCATGCATAAAAAGAAAAGGAAGTAAGGGAGAAAGTGCTTAGTGTCTGCCACACACACGGCCCCATTCTGAGGAAATCAGTCTCAGGGGTTGCTTTACTATATTTTATTTTATTTTTTTTTTGAGACAGAGTCTCACTCTGTTGCCCAGGCTGGAGTGCGGTGGCACGATCTCAGCTCACTGCAGCCTCTGCCTCCCGGGTTCAAGTGATTTCTCCTGCCTCAGCCTCCCGAGTAGCTGGGATTACAGGTGTGTGCCACCATACCTGGCTAATTTTTGTATTTTTAGTAGAGACGGGAATTCATTATGTTGGCCAGGCTGGTCTCAAACTCCTGACCTCAAGGGATCTCCATACCTTGTCCTTCCAAAGTGCTGGGATTACAGACATGAGCCACCACACCTGGCCAGGGTGCTTTAATATAAAGTCATTATACTCTCTTCCATTTGCATTAATGAAAGCCAACTTTGCCACTCTTGCTACAACTGTATTTATCCAGGAATTGGTATCTAAACCAAATACAATCATGAGTATATTCAAGCTCTAATAAAGAGAGGTCATTGCCTCCTGATAGGCTTAGCTTGAGACATGTAAGTTCTATTTAAGAAATACTTCCATTATATGGTTATCACAGTATCAGAAAGGTCAAAATTTTAGGGGAAAACATTAAAAGACATTTTCAGATCAAAGAAACACATTATAAATATTAGGTATATTCTAAACATGTAGCTCATTGAAACTCAAATTGTACCCTAAACAATTTTGTGCTATTATTCCAGTTCTCCATAAGCCCTGGGACCCAAAATGATAATCCATTCTGCAAGTAATGGGAAATGCAGATAGAATGAGGTACGGAGGAAGGTCTGAAAGGATGAGAGACAGTTTTAGGTTAAAAATAGAGAGATGTAAGCAAACAATAAGGAGATTAAGAGCTTCTTCTAAGCACCTAAGAAGTATCTCACGCAAGACAGCAAGAGCAAGGAAACACTGAATTAAAAGACAAGACTGAAGAGAATATTAATTTTCTTTGAGACAAGGTCCAGTTCTGTTGCCTAGGCTGGAGTGCAGCGGCTTGACCACAGCTCAATAAAGCCTCGACCTCCCAGGCTCAAGCAATTCTCTTACTTCAGCCTTCTGAGTAGCTAGGACCACAGGTGCACACCACCACACCCAGCTAACTTAATCCTAGCACTTTGGGAGGCCAAGGTGGGTGGATCACGAGGTCAGGAGATCAAGACCATCCTGGCCAACATGGTGAAACCCCATCTCTACTAAAAACACAAACATTAGCTGGGCACAGTGGCTCATGCCTGTAATCCCAGCTACTCGGGAGGCTGAGGCAGGAGAATAGCTTGAACCAGGGAGTTAGAGGTTGCAGTGAGCCAAGATCGCACCACTGCACTCCAGGCTGGCAACAGAGTGAGATTCCATCTCCAAAAAAAAAAAAAAAAAAAAAAAAAAAGAAAAAGAAAAAAAAAGAGATGAGTCTCACTATGTTACCCAGGCTGGTCAAATGATCTTCCTGTCTCAGCCTCCCAAAGTGCTGGGATTACAGGCGTGAGTCACTGCACCCAGCTAGAAGAGAATCTTTAAACAAACATATACACATATATACATTCACACACATTTACAGAGGGCCACCAATTGGTTAGTTACAGCAAATATTCTCTTTCTTATCAATGTCTTTTTAAAAAGAGGGAGTCTATTTTACTTTTTATTTTCATAACGAAATATTATAAAAGCCTCATAACTATGATTTCATACCTGATAATATTTCAGCTGCCCATTTAGTTCTCCTAGATGTTTATCATACTCAGTTATAAGAGGAGCTAAAAAGCTAAAAAAAAAAGACAATAAAAATATAGCATATTCTGTTCCATCTAGTTTAATAAATATATAACAAGTGAAATAAATTACACATAAAAATTTTATGTTTAGTCTACTCATGCAACCAAAACTTTTCCCTTTTTTCCAAAACCAGGAGTTTTAAATATTTGCACAATTAATATTTTGGACTGAAAAATTCTTTGTTGTGGAGTGGCTAGTCTGTGCATTGAAGGATGTTTAACAGCATCCTTGGCCTCTACCCATTAGATGGCAGCAGCAGTCTCACTTTCCACAGTAGTGACAAGCAAAAATGTTTCTAGACATTGCCAAATATCTCCTGGTGAAACAGGGGTAAAATCATTCCGTCTGAGAACTAATTTTGTAGACCCTGTAATACTTGCTTTTTCTTGTCAATTCAAGAACAAAGCATTTAAGTTTAATAACAGCAGATCATGAAACAAACATTCCTGATACTAAAAGAATTACTTTAATAACAATTAAATATAACTAAGAAAATGATATTATTCTGGTTAATACTTTACCTTTGGTCAAACACGAGGTTTTCAAATGTGTCGTCTCCTTCTCCTTGGCAGACAGCTTTCTATAAGAGAATGTGCATCTTAAAATGTGTTCTCACATCATTCTAGCCAAAATTGATAGTGATTTAATATTAAATGCAATTAAATTTTCATAACCTTAGAAAATCTATTTATGTCATTCATAATGAGAGAAAAAGAAAAAATAATAATCTCAATTTATATTGAAAAGCATTTGGTAAATTTAATACCCGTGCATAATAAAAACCATTGGCAAATTAGAAATTTGGGGAACTTTTCTTAATTTGATAAAAATATCTGCCAGAAATCTAATCAATTACAATTTAAAGGTTGAAAAGCAAGAAGCAAGGCTATTATTATCTACAAACAATTTGGCCATTTACCTAAAAACTCAGTAAAATCTACCAATTATTAGAACTAGTAAGAGAATACACTAAAAGTCACCAGACAGAAAATGAACACTTAAAAAAAAAATTACTAGCTTTTTCAAATACCAGCAATGATTAGAAAATGTAATATAAAAAATCCTATTCACTACTATGACAAACAATATCTGCAGAATAAAGCAAATAAAAAATGGTACAGGAGCTTATTGAGAAAATTAGTTTTACTAAAGGATATAAAAGGAAATCTAAACAAACATGGTACTATAGCATTCATCTATGGGTGCAACGGTCAATATTTTGAGTATGTCAGCTCTCTAAAATTGACTACAACTTCATTGCACTCAAAAATGAAGTTCCAATAGAATAATTTATAAAAGTTCCATGAAAGAGTAAGTGTGAAAAATTAGCCAAGATAATCTCACCAAAAAAAAGGAAAAGAAAAAAGAAAGAGAAAAACTTGGCTTACTACATAGCAAAACACCACAATGCTACAGCAATTTTAACAGTATGCTATAGGTACAGTAACAAACTCAACAGTATAACAAACCCAGAAATAGATTCAAGCATTTATAGGTATGTGGTATATAAAATAAGAGGAATTATAATCGAATGGACACAGTACTGCTATCCAACAAATAGTACTGGATAACAAACAAAATTAGATTCTAGCACATACTAAATGGAAAAATATAGATAAAAATCCAAATGTTGTTAAAATTTTAACAATTATTGCAAGAAAATGCATTATTGACCTTGAGTTAGACAATGCTTTCTTAACTTCACAAATGCAGAAATTTTTGTCTCTTTTGTTTGTAAATATCTCAAGCAGCGCCTGCCATACTTTTTTGCTCAAATTGCATTTGTTAGCTGGAAGACACCAGGAGCAAAACCTATAAATGGAAAGACTGACACATTTTACAACATCCAAATTTAAAACTTCTATACAGCTAAAGACACCATAAGCAAAGTTAAAAGACCTATAGCATTCGTAGCATGACCAGAAATTTTGTATCTATGGCATATGGAGAAACATTTAAACACAAGATGTGCAAGGTTTTTCAGTGGTGCCTTTACTATAAAACATAGCTAACAAAATGTCTTTTAACAGAATAAATAAAAAATGATACAATAGAATCCCGTAAGTAGTTCAAGAAATTAATTAAATTTATATGTATCAAAATAGATATATCATAAAAAAAAGTTATTTCTAGGGGTGGAGAGAAGAAAATAGGACAGAGAAGGAAGACGGTCAAAGGGATCACTAAAAGCATCTGTAATATTCTGGCTTTTTGAAGGGAGAAAGTATTTATGATCACATACATATTAAAGAGTAATTTTAAAGCATAACTCAAGCCTCTGAATTCTAAAGTTTCACTTAATTAATTTTTAATATTTTACTCTGTAAATATTTATTTACCTACTATGTGTAAGGGCCCATGGGAGGTACAGTAAATAATACAAAGATGAACAACTCATAGTCCTTATCCACTGAATGGACTGTAGAGTTATAGGCAGAAACAGGCAAATAAGCAAGGAACAATAATAAGAATAAAGACATACCATGAAAGAGGCATAGAATGGTGAGAATGAGTGGATGAAAGGAAGATAATCAATACTGTTTTTATTCAAGTACTACATACATACAGAAGACTGTGCAAATTATAAGTATACAGCTAAATAATTCTCACAAAGTGAATATACTCATGTAACCAGAACACAAATCAAGCAACACAAGTACTCCTCACTTTGCATGTTGGTATGTCTTCATTTTGCACAGTTCTGTGGAAACATCAAATCCAAGTAAGGACAAAGTTGTGATACACACAAGTTTCAGTTAATATGGCACTGCAAAAAGTGAGAATTGTGTATATAACCAACAACCCCTAAACCCCTAAGTCACTACTCCCACGCTCCATGTGGGACCCAAATCCTGACTTCTAACAGTATGAAATCATTTTGCCTGTTTTTTAAAAAAAATTATAAAAATATAACCATACAGTATATTTTCTGTTATGTCTGGCTTCTTTTGCTTACCACTGGGTTTGTGAGATTCATTCTTACTGCTGTGGGTAATTTTGGTTCGTTCATTCTTACTGACATATACCATTTCACTTTATAAGTATGCCACAATATATTTATGCTTTCTATTATTATTTATTTATTTATTTTTGAGATGGAGTCTCGCTCTGTTGCCCAGGCAGGAGTGCAGTGGCACGATCTCGGCTCACTGCAACCTCCGCCTCCCAGGTTCCTGCCATTCTCCTGCCTCAGCCTCCTGAGTATCTCGGACTACAGGTGCCTGCCACCACGCCTGGCTAATTTTTTGTATTTTTAGTAGAGATGGGGTTTCACCGTGTTAGCCAGGATGGTCTCGATCTCCTGACCTCGTGATCCGCCTGCCTTGGCCTCCCAAAGTACTGGGATTACAGGTGTGAGCCACCGTGCCTGGCTATGCTTTCTATTATTAAATGAAGTATCTGGGTTGTTCATTATTTGGCTATTATAAATAGTGCTGCTACAAACATTCTTGAAAAGGTCTTCTTGGTATAGGCATTTCTGATGGGCATACCTACAGGTAAAACTGATGACTCATAAGGTCTGTATCAGTCAGATCTAGAATAAAATGTCAAACAATTTTCTGAAGTAATCTTACCAATTTACTCTCTCACAGGCAGTGTATGAGAGTTATTCCACATCTTTGTCAACACTTGGAGTTATGCTTTTCACTCTAGCCAGTGGATGTAGTAGTATTTCATTGTGGTTTGAATTTCCATTTACCTGATAAACAATGAAGTTGAAGACTCTTTTCTACAGTTACTAAGCATTTTAAATACCTCCTTTTGTGAAGTGACCTGTTTCTCTAATGGATAATTGTTTTAGTTATTAATTTGAAGACATTCTTCAAATATTCTAGATTTTTGCAAGATTACAAATATATTCTCCATTCCATAGCTTATCTTTTTACTTTCTTAATGGTGTCTTAAAAACATAAGTTCTTTCATTTTGAAGTAGCCCAGTTTATCATTTCTTTCCTTTATGATTAGTGCTTATGTCCCGTTTAAGCCATCCTGCCTACTATAAGCTCATAACGTCTTCCCTCAAGTTTTATTCTAAAAGCTTTACCTTAACATTTAGATATGCAATCAATGCAGAAATCACATATGAGAGTAGTTTGGGTAGAGATCAAAATTCATTTTTCTTTATTCTGAATGAAAGTCTGGTATGTGTAAAGCTATTTCTAAACTTTATTCTGTTTAACTGGCTTGTTTCCTTGGCCAATACCATACTAACCAAATTACTATAGCTTTATAGTAAATATTAAGACCTGGTAGTATCTGTTTCCAAGTGTAGTTGTTCTGCAAGATTGTCTTAGCTCTTCTTGTCCTTTTTCATATAAATTTTGAGGGGGAACTATTATGTTTTTGAGGAACTTCCATACTGTTCTCCACAGTGGCTAAACTAATGTATATTTCTACCAACAGTGTATGAGGGTTCCCCTTTCTCTACATCCTCACCAGCATCCATTATTGCCTGTCTTTAGGACAAAAGTCATTCAAACAGGGGTGAGATGGGATCTCACTGTGGTTTTGATATGCATTTCTCTAATGATGACTAAATGTTTAGCATTTTTTTCATATACTTCTTGGCCAGTTGTATGTCTTCTTTTAGAGATGTCTATTCAGTTCATTTACTCATTTTTAAATTGGATTCTTCTTTTAACTGCTGAATTGTTTAAGCTCCTTATATATTCTGGACATTTGTCTCTTGTCAGATGAATAGTTTTCAAATACTTTCTCCCATTTTGCCAGATTTCTCTTCATTCTGTTGACTGTTTCCTTTACAATACAGAAGCTTTTAAGATTGATATAATTCCATTTGTCTATATTTGCCTTTCTTGCTTATGCCTTTGAGGTCTTCTCCATAAAACCTTTACCCAGGAAAATGTACTGAAACATTTGTTTTTGTCCACCAGTTTCATAGTGTTTGGTGTTACATTTTTTTAGTCCATTTTGTGTTGATTTTTGTATATGGTAAGAGACAGGGGTGACTTATTTTTGGCACATGGATATCGAGTTTTTCCAGCACTATTTCTTTTTCTTTATTTGCAGATGACAGTTAATTTTAATTTTTATTTTACTTTAAGTTCTGGGATACATGTGCAGAACATGCAGGTTTGTTACATAGGTATACACGTGCCATGATGGCTTGCTGCACCTATCAACCTGTCATCTAGGTTTTAACCCTGCATGCATTAGGTATTTGTCCTAATGCTCTCCTTCCCCTTACATGCCATCCCTGACAGGCCCTGGTGCGTGATGTTTCCCTCCTTGTGTCCATGTGTTCTCATTGTTCAATTCCCACTTATGAGTGAAAACATGCAGTGTTTGCCTTTCTGTTCTTGTGTTTGCTGAGGACAATGCTTTCTAGCTTCATTCATATCCCTGCAAAGTACATGAACGCATTCTTTTTTATGGCTGCATAATATTCCCTGGTGTATATGTGCCACATTTTCTTTATCCAGTCTATCTTCATGGGCATTTGGGTTGGTTCCAAGTCTTTGCTATTATAAATAGTGCTTCAATAAACATATGTGTGCATGTGATAGTAGAATAATTTATAATGCTTTAGGTATATACACAGTAATGGGATTGCTGGGT